TTAAATTTTTATATTTAAAATTACTTGTTAATTAATATGATCGTGAGCATCAAATTAATTGTTGTATCAGAAAAACATTTAATATATAAATAATAATTTAGAAAAATTAAGTATTTTGACTTACCTAGAACTTCAGCATTGACCACAATGTTGCAGCTGTACATAGGACTAACCAGACGTTGTGGTTGTGCCTGGAATGCCATGCGACATGACTCTTTCGATGCAGTTAACACTTGTCCTATAGAAGCACAAGAAAAGAAATAAATATTAATTAACGAATTTCTATGTAAAAAGAAATGTTAACAAACCTGAAAAAGGACCATACGACTTGGAATTCAAATCCTCGTTTGCTTCCACAGTCCATTCGAGCACAACAAAAGCCACACCCTGCATGGGCTCTTCACATAGCGGGCCAGCAGCGGTCACCAATTGAAAACCGTTAACAAATGAACTATTATAATCCCGACGTACATCAGACACCGCTTTGGCAATGGCATCTACATCAATTTGATGTGTGAGTGACTGCCAGAAATTTGGTTGTTCATAATCAGTCAAATTCAAGAGGATGTTCGTGCCGCAATTTCGCGGGCCTAGAGCCCAAATGCGCTCTACGAGCTCTGTTGGCTTTAGCGCAGTTAAGCCTTTCAAATCGAACTCAGTTAAAGCATTGGTAAGTTGAGTTTTTATTTGCGCTATTAGCGTCGAATACTTTTCGGATACAGTAATGCCTTTTACGTTCGTCGCTAATTCTTTAAAGAAGCTAATATATTTATCCAATATGTCCACAGCAGTCTGGGGCAGTGGCAAAGCTATAACACGTATCGTGCCACACTTGTTGGCAGTTTGTTGTGTGATAATCTTTTTTGTTATATCCTTGTCTGTAGCTGTTTTTATGATGGCTTCGTTCACCATATCGATAGTGGCTTCAGGCACTATTGTTTCGCGGAAAGATACAATGGGCTCGGACACATTTACTTTAATCTTTGCATAGCTTTCCTCTAGATCCCGCACACATTTTTCTACATGCACTTCACCTAGTGTAGTGATTACATGCTCGCCAGTTGGCGCCATAGATACCTCAACGCATGCATCTGCCTAAATTTATCAAAGAACTGGATATTTAGTGAAAACGCTTCACTTTTTTGTATGGTATCTCTAGCAGTTGTTATTACCTGATTCAATAATTTCAGCCCCTTCACAAGTTTGGGCAAATCCTGTGGATTAACGGGCTCAATAGCTACACGCAAAATGGGTGTGGCCATTACACTTAACTCGCTAAATGACGTACAATTGATGGTGCTGCTCAATGTTGCTGTTTTAATAATATCTTCATCCAAACCGCCTATGCCCACAATGTTACCAGCAGGTACCTCATCAAGCGCCTGTAGCTCACCACCCATAAACAAATACAGATCCCCTATCGTCACTTCGCTTATGTAAGGCGAGTCCGAATTCAGCTGCCTAAAATGTAAAAAAAAAATTAATAAACAATAATCATGAGAATGCACTCAATTTTTATACTAACTCTTTATTTCTGGGATCATGTTTGGGCGCCAAATTGTACAGTCGCATACCCGTTTTAAGAGTACCACTGAAAATGCGCGCAAAAGCAATGAAAACATAATCCGCCTTTTCAGGTGGCTCCTGCTCGACATTTTTTTGCTCCTCAGTTTGTGCAGGTGTTTCTTCTACATTCAGTTGCTCTATGCCGACGGTTAGATTTTCCAGTTCGGCCTTTTCAGCAAACTGCTTTCGCTCTTCAATCCGACGACGCACTTCTTCGCGCCGGGCTTGCAACTGTTCCTCATTCAAACGCTTGGGCTTATTTTGAGGCAACTGTGAAACGTGCACTGGCGTCATCTGCGGACAATAAAAATATTATCAATGAAAATAATAGTTGCGTTTTTTTACTCATTTCCAGTAAAATCCAGTAAAAGTTTTTACGAATTTTCATGTTTTGGCGTTTTCGTACGCAAAAACTTGCAAAGTAGGGGAAATTGAGAGAGCGAAAAATGACAGCTGAAGTAGCAAGTTTTTACTGGATTTTACTGGATAAATTTTTACTTGTAAGAATTTGCCAGTACGAAAAACAGCTGATCGCATGTTGCTGGATGAAATTTAAACTAATAGGTGCGTTCGTTTAAAATCTCCAACAGAAACCAACCAACTGCCAAATTCCGGCGAAATGTCATCTGTTCGCTCACAAGAGAGAAATATCCAAAATAGTACGCGAACAGAAAATTTGCAGAAACTTGCAAGTTAGACGAACAGCTGATATAATTTTTGTTTACATTCAAAAGTGTAAAATTTAAAACGTACGAAAACTCATTACAAAGTGGTATCCTGGCACAGTTTATTGATTAAACAAATAACTACTTACTTCTTACAAGTTTAATTAGTCGCATTTTGTAATTTTTAACTTCCAAACCATCAAATTCAATTTTGTGATTTGCGTAAATGCCAACCAGCTGTTTTTGATCAGCTGTTTTCCTGTTGGCAAATTGCTGTTGGCAAAAATTTTTCCAGCAGAAACCAGCAGCTTCCCCTCAAAATGAAATGTCACTTTGCTCTCTCGATTTCCCCTACTTTGCAAGTTTTTTGCGTACGCGAACGCAAAAACTTGTAAGTTTTGGTTAAACATGAACAATTAACAGCTACGCGAACGAACCTAATAAGGAAACTGTTTGTGGATTTTTATTGTGGAAATTTTCAAAACAAACATATTTAAATATAAAATATATCGTTTTATTGGGAATATGCTGCGAACAAACAACCAATTTATCAGCTGTTCATGAAACTTGCAAATTATTACTGGAAAAGCGTTCGCGTACTTTTTTGCAAATTTTTTCTATGAGAGCGAATTATTAGAAATAAAGTTACTGGAGAGTTACTGGCAAGTTACTGGATAATTTGTAAAAAAACACAACTAATATATAAGAAGTCATACACATTTGACCATGAAAATATATGTACATACCTTAGAAACAAACACAATGACGTTAGGGCTCTCATCGCTGCAACGTTTAAAATCTTCCTTCAACAACAAAGTTTCTTTAGAATATGCATTCAACGCTACATTGCGTGGAAATAGCAATCTTTCTGCGCGTTCATCGGAAATGACATTTGGTGGCGGCACATGTCGCACCACCATTTCCAGCACAGTGCGATCTATGGGCAACCACTGTCCGAAAACAGTTTTTATTTGTACTTTGGGATCCGAAATACGTAAATCACGAGCCTGTAATTTTATACCCAATTTCTCTGCGATAATCGGTAATTTTTCCTTATCTTTGCGTACTGCTATGATATCATATAGACTCCAGATATTTTCTAAAACGAATTGCACAAACATAGGTTTCTTAGCCTTTTCTTGTGCACCGGCAAGTGCATATTTCTGTTTGGTGTTGTAGAAAAAATCACCCCAGAGAACTTGTTCGAGATCTGATTGCGTCATTTCTAAACGTTTTGAATATATTTTGGCGAAATCGCTCACCGAGAAAGCCCAACCATCATAAGCGGAACAAAATATGACATTACCGGCAGCTGGAGAAAAATATAAATTTGAATCGTCGACTTCTTCCAATGCAGACTCATAGTTGTCCTGTAAGTATAATGATTATTAATATTTAATTAGTATTTATAGTATACGCGGTGTTTGTTATAAGTCAACAAGTATACCTTTTTCGTTATATCCTCCTTCGAAAGCACATCGGAGGCAAATATGCTACCGAGCACAGCATTCACCTGCTCTAAAATTTGCGATATATGAAAGTAAGCATCTAATGGCTTAAGCTGCATTTCCATTATAAGCCGGTCAATTTTATTTAAAACCAGAACGGGCTTTAGTTGTTCTGTATAAACTTGTTCTAAGCATGCGCGCGTTTGTGGGCAAACACCTTCGACCACATCAACCTTAAATGGTGATGAAACACTGGCATTTTATTCATCTACAGCAATCTTCGCATTACTTACCACAACAATGGCGCCATCACACAAGCGCACAGCTGTTGAAACTTCACTGGAAAAGTCCACATGTCCCGGTGAATCAATCAAATTAACGAGATAGTCTTGCTCGTTGTCAGCATGGTCAGCGCCGCCACGGTAATATAGCGATATACTGCTGCTCTTCATAGTTATGCCACGTTCCTGCTCATCTTGACGAGTGTCCAGGTAGCGCAGCTTACCTGCCATACGTTGTGAAATTATGCCATTGCTGGCTACAAGTGAGTCAGCAAGTGTTGTCTTGCCATGATCTACATGTGCCAAAATGCAAATATTGCGCACACGTTCAATGTCTTTTTGGAGTTTCACCAAGGTATTTGTGTCTATAATAGGCATTTTAATCACTTTTGTTATGACTTCTCAGGTGTTTTCTATCGCGCTCAAGAAATACAAATGAAAACGAAAGCGCTATGCCGCCAAAGTTAAACCGCACGTGTTTGTTTACTATTGTAGGTAGCTATTTCGTAAATAAGCGCAAATTCCACTACACCCCTTGTCCAATAAGTAAAAGATTGTCGCTTCCAAACAGATTCCAGACGTTCTCTGCAGATTCTTTTGTTTACATCTCATTTGTGAAATGGGAACCAGAGAACGTAAATTTACGCTCTCTGTGGGAATCGCAAGTATTCACAATAGCGATCAATTTATTTTCGGTGGTATTTCGCCTGAGAATGAAAATAATTAGGGGATTCCCTTGAACGCGCAATTGTATCGAAAACCTGGAAACTTTTCATCCACGAAAAAAAACTATAGAAGATGTTACGGAAGGCGCATTTCAAGTACCTCGGATACTTATGAGGCACACTTGTCGAGAAAACAGCTTCGAAACGCCATTTGGAAGTTCAAGTGCTGCGTTTTGATACAATATACATTTTTTTATTTATTTATTTTTTAATGCAGCTTTTGCATTTAATTCAGCTGATACGATGTATTGTAGAAAGAAAATCTAACTGCATTGAATTTCTGTATTTTGGCATTGTTTAAGAGGGATTTGGTGATTTTCAAATGTATGCTTGGCAGCCTTGTTAAATATGACGGATCAGCTGATCAAATGTCAAAAGTTGCTGACGTTAATTTTGCACGTTGCTGCATTGCAATCGTTTTTCTTTTCACGAAATTTTCCAGGTCAAATTGCAGAAGACTTATTAACTCATAACTATAAATAAAAATCAGACTGTGTGCGGCCACGCTTCGTAAAAATGGTTGAATTAACTCCGGAGGAAAAAAAGCAGCTGATAACCCGTAATCTACAGGAGACACTGGGCGAGGACAAGCTTAATGCTATACTCAAGGAGCGTGACCTGAAAATCTACTGGGGCACAGCTACTACAGGCAAGCCACATGTAGCATATTTCGTGCCTATGTCGAAAATTGCCGATTTCCTCAAGGCCGGCTGTGAGGTAAAGTAAATTCGCGGAAACTATTCACATATAGAATCACTCAACGTTGGTTGAGTCATTTTATCACACCTTTCATTGTTTATTTTCTTTAAAGGTCACTATTCTTTTTGCTGACTTACATGCCTACCTTGATAATATGAAAGCGCCATGGTCGCTGCTCGAATTGCGTACACAATACTATGAAGCTGTTATAAAGGCTATGTTGAGCTCAATAGGTGTGCCATTAGATAAGCTCAAATTTGTTAAGGGTACCGACTATCAGCTGTCGAGAGAATATACGCTGGATGTGTACAAATTAAGTTCGGTGGTGACGCAGCACGATGCAAGAAAAGCCGGCGCCGAAGTTGTAAAGCAGGTAGAATACCCATTACTTTCGGGTTTGCTGTACCCAGGCTTGCAAGCTTTAGATGAAGAGTATCTCAAAGTAGATGCACAGTTTGGAGGCGTTGATCAGCGTAAAATTTTCACTTTCTCTGAAAAATATTTGCCACAATTGGGCTATGAGAAACGTATTCATTTCATGAATCCCATGGGTAAACAAATTCTTTATGATAGTCAAAACTAGTATTTTAATTATATTTGAAATATTGCAGTGCCGGGTTTGGCAGGCGGCAAAATGTCTTCTTCGGAGGAGGATTCTAAAATCGACCTTTTAGATTCGCCCGCAAATGTGAAAAAGAAGTTGAAGAAAGCTTTCTGCGAGCCCGGAAACATCGCAGACAATGGGCTTTTGTCGTTCGTAAAGCATGTGCTGTTCTCGCTATTTAAGGATGGTGAAGGTATGTATATATTGAAATATATGTACATACAATCATTAAATAAAAATTTCAGCTTATATAATTTATCATCATTTCTTTCAGGATTTTCTGTTAACCGTCCGGCGGAATTCGGTGGAGATGTTACATTCCATAACTACGCTGACTTGGAGAAATATTATGCCGACAACGAATTACATCCAGGGGATTTGAAAGCATCCGTTGAAAAATACATCAATAAACTTCTAGAGCCAATAAGAAAAACATTCGAAAGTCCTGAGTTGCAGTATGTACATCTCATTGATTCATTTTTTTTTTAACTGCGTTTCATATAAAAAGTTTGTTTCATATAGAAAACTCAGTGCAGCTGCCTATCCAGCGCCAGGTAAAGCGAAAGGCGGAATTACTACGAACAATGCAGTAGCAGTTGAGGAAGATGGACCACATCGTCTGGACATACGAGTTGGCAAGGTTGTAGAAGTTGCTCGTCATCCGGATGCAGACACTTTGTATGTATTAAAAATAAACTTAGGTGAGGCACAACCACGTACCATCATAAGCGGATTGGTAAAATTTGTCACAATCGAAGAACTGGATCAGCGATTAGTGGCGGTGCTGTGCAATCTTAAGCCATCTAAAATGCGTGGTATACTGTCCGAGGGCATGGTACTATGCACGTCGAAGTAAGTAAAGATAGTATTGGTAATATAAATTAGATATACTTATAAGTTCGCATTTGAACAGCGCTGATCACACTGTTGTGGAACCTATTATTGTGCCAGTCAGTGCCGGCCCTGGTAGTCGCTTGGCGTTCGAAGGATACCACGGCACTCCGGACGAGCAATTAAATCCCAAAAAGAAGGTACATGGCTTGAATCACCCGTTTATAGCTAGAAACTTAAAGTTGGTCTTGTTTGTTAAAGGTTTGGGAAAAGCTTTCTGTAGATTTGAAAACAAATACCGATGGTGCTGCCGTTTGGAAAGAGAACTTCCTACTCACACCCGAAGGCGAAAAGCTGACAAGCAAATTAGCAAACTGCAATATTAAATAAATAGAAATATAATAAACTAATTATGCATTGTCATGCCAGTTAAAGCTCTTATATGGCGTCATTTTTAAAGTTTGTAATTCTCAGCGATTACGCAGCGTTCTAAATATTTATTTGCAATTATTATTTTTTTATATGTAGCACAATAAACAACAAACGCTTTCAATAGCGAAGAAAACAGATATCTAGTTTTTTTATTTAATCTATATGTACATATGTATGTACCTTCGTTTGGGTTAATCGTTTTGGAAAACAGTGGGAGGGAATTGTTGAAATATATCCTCATTCGAGATCTCATATAGCAGGAGCATTTGCGCAGGTGAGATTAATCAAAAATTTGGATTATATGGATATATTTATCTATGTATGTATAGCACATTAAGAAGTTATTAAACTACAAGGATAATTTTGTCAAATTGTGCAAGAGTTCACAAGCCAGTTAACAGTATTAAGCGTTTAATGCAATAACTTACTGTATACATCATTTTTCTCCAAAAAAATTTTAACACAACACTATTATTTGAACATTTTGTTATTTTTTTATGAGAAAAATAGTTTTCAACTCAGGTTTAAGATTTTATATGGCAAAGTGGAAAATATCACTTCCTTCCGTGCAACCGCAAAAAAAAACTGACGCTTCCGTTCAAGGCGGGAATCTATTGTGATCTTTTAGTTAAAGCTCAGAGAACGTAAAGTATACGTAAATTTACGATATCTGTTAGATACGCAATCAGCTGTTCTCATACTTATCTTCCGCTTTCCACAAATTCGGACCGGCATTGACAAAGGATTCATTTTTGATTGTGATCTCCAATTTGAACTAATTAATTGTTGTCTATGTATTCCAAACGAACCTTGCTAACCATCTTAACGCAGCACAGTATCCGGGCTTCCAGGCGATGGTCACATGACGAGGTACGTGTACGTTTCGCACCAAGTCCAACAGGTTAGTTTGAAATTTGTAATAAGCTATATTTAGTATGTAGTAATTTTATGACATAAATTTGTTTCAAGGATATCTGCATTTGGGTGGACTCCGTACAGCATTATACAATTATTTGTATTCACGAAATAAAAATGGCAAATTCTTGCTACGCATAGAGGACACAGATCAGACGAGACTCGTGCCGGGTGCTACAGAAAGTTTGATTGAAAATTTAATGTGGGCGGGAATAAAAATAGACGAAGGTCCAGGATTTGGTGGTGAACAGGGTCCTTACGTGCAAAGTGAGCGTAAGCAAATTTATTTGTAAGTAGAATTAATAAATTTTGTATTAGAATCTATTATTATTCAAGTTCCCTTGTAGAGAAGCTGTACGCGAACTGCTTGAAAATGACACCGCCTATCGTTGCTTTTGCACCGAACGTCGGTTAGAACTTTTGCGTAAGGAAGCAATTCGAACGAGACAAGTCCCACGCTACGATAATAAATGCCGCTATCTAACACCACAGCAAATAGCCGTTTTATTAGCGAAAAATACTCCATATTGCATACGATTTAAGCTGACAGCTCATGAAGAGCCTCTCCAGGACTTGATCTACGGGCCGGTAACGCACAACGTCAGTGAAAACGAAGGTGATCCAGTTATCATGAAAAGCGATAACTTTCCCACATACCATTTTGCGAACGTGGTAGATGACCATTTGATGGGTGTAACGCATGTCTTTCGCGGCGTTGAATGGCAAATATCGACAACGAAGCATTTACTACTCTATAAGTAAGGGTGTCCTATTGTCGCCATGCGCTTAATGTAAACGTACGTTTATTTCTTATTTTCAACAGAGCCTTCGGTTGGCAACCACCCCTCTATGGCCATCTTCCACTTTTGGTCAACTCTGATGGTACAAAATTAAGTAAACGCCAAGGTGACATTGGCATCAAAAGTTTTCGGGATAAAGGCTATTTTTCGGAGGCACTCGTAAACTACGTTGTTAGCGCAGGTGGCGGATTCGAACATACGCCTGGACAAAAGCCACAAATATATTCTATGAACGAATTGGCACATCGATTTAACATCGAGCGCGTGAACTCACATCCTAGCCGTTTAAATCCCGACTTGTTGAACGACTTTAATCGACTGCATATACTAAAATTGCTGCAAAGCAAGGAAAACAGCAAAGACTTGGTAGAACGTGTAAAAGTTTTGGTGCGAGAAGCTTATCCCAAGGAGTAAGAACATTTTTTTGTATGTTAAATAGAGTATTAGTTTAAATACTGTACTTAATTCGCAGAAAAAATCTCGATTTAGGCAATCCGCATATTGAGAATGTTTTAAAGTGGGCATGCAGTCGTTTAACATTCATCGAAGACTTGACCGAGGCAAATTTGAGTTTCCTTTGGGTTCGACCTGTCGAATTCAAGTTAAAAAATGTCACAAATGGTGCGAAATAGTGCAAGAACTATTTATTTGGTAGTATGTACTAATATAAAATACTTTCAGATCAAATGGAATCTCTGATAGCGAATTTAGAAAATATAGAATTCACAAAAGATAATCTGAATCTAAAGTTGAAAGAATTCGCAGACAATAATAATGTGAAATTTGCAGTTTTCATGAAGACTCTTCGTTCAGCTCTAAGTGGTTTAAAGGTAAAATTTTCTTGAGCCCTTACAATAAAATTGTGCATGTCCAATTTAATAAACAACATCGCATAATTACAGGAAGGCCCCGGTGTTGCAGAAATGATGGACATTCTAGGAAAAGATTGTGTGTTACAACGTCTCAGGAGCACCATTCATGCGCAAAGTAAGGAAGCAGCGGCAAATGTAGTGAAAAAATGATAACCCTTAAGGGTGTTTTGTTTATCTGTTAATAAAGGTTAATTATTTTCTAAGTAAAATAACGTGTAGATTCGTCCGTCGATTTTTAATTTATTACGGTTTACGGCTTGAGACGAACAATTTTTGTTTGTGATCATTAATAGATTAATATGTATGTTAATAGTACACTCATAGTTTTTAATATGTATCGTTTATGAATACTGATTTTCATTCAAATATGTACCTAATTATAGGTTCGAAAAGGGGATCATTGCATGCAATTACTTCAATACTCATATTTTAAGTATCGCAATTTTTCTATTACGGGGGGAAATATTGTTAGTAATAATTTCATACTGATATTTAGCGCAAGTTTAAATATTTGCCGATCTGTATCGCAAATTTTCCGCACCATACAAAGCCTATTTCCATAATCCGGAAACTTTTCAGTCAATTTAACTAAAATCACGATTGGTTAGTACAATAGGTGCCACCAGACTCCACCCGTATATGGAGACTCCAAGCCAACTAGATATAATTTTAATCCACATGGAAGCAGCATTAGCGTTGAATAGTTCAATATCGGAGTTTGGTCTAAGACAGTAAAGAAATAACATTTGTATAATAATCAAATTTTGCATATAAAATTTAAAATTTACTTACTTATACCAGTTGGTAAGTGTCATCATAACATAGAGGGAAGCGCAGACAAAGACAATATGAAACATGGACCAGGAATAGGTAACGCCTTCACTCTCGCTGTCGTTTGCGCCTTTGCCATCAGCATTGCCGACTTCTGAATCTGAGAGAGCTTCTGTTAAGACTATGTTAGTTTAATTGGTTCAACATCAAAGATGTAGATATTTTTACAAAAAATATGAAACAAATTTTAAGTGAACCGAAAGAGGACCAAATCCATTGTACCGATGTTCGTACCATTAATTTCGTGTTAGTTCATTGTGGTTGTACATACATTACAGTAAAGGTGACCGAAAGTAGGAAATCATACGAAAATAAAATGTAAAAGAGAAGAATGTTAGCCATTTACAACGAATAATCTATTAATGATTTTTTGCAGTGTGATTAGTTGCGAGTGCCTCGGAAATCAGGTAATGTGAGAATGCAAAATAAGTGAATTTTTAATGGTGCCAACTCAGTTTGTGGTATTGATAAGAAAATGTGCATGATATTTGCTATAACTGATTATTTAGATGATGAATGTTTGGTACGAAATTGTTAGGGAATAATTGAAAATGCGTATGTATTTAAAAAAAAATATCAAACTTACCGCGCTTTTCGCCGTCGTTATTTATTTTGGAAACCTCAACAGCCGAGCTGATGCAATTGTAGAGAATGCAGAACAACCAAACAATTAAGCCAATTATATTTGTTGTATCGAAAGTCACTTTCGAGTTGGGTGTTGGTGGCGCAATAGTCGTATTGATAGCTGTTACACCATTTATTACGCCATACATGCCAGGATTGCAATCCTTCTCTATTAGGAGGGATAGAAAATTCTAGTTTTTATATAAAATTAAACCACATTTGCGTGTAAGCGTAACCTGGGTTGTTGGCAACAGCAGACCAAGTCAAGTAGACAGTGTAGATGGTAACCAGCGAACTTTGTAGGAGACCAGAGTGTGGCAAGCGATCTTGCACAGCTGGCATAACTGACAAAACGCTTGCAATCAGGCAAAGTATTAGATTGAAGGAGATGAAGAACTTGTTAAGACCGCAACCGTCTGACTGCAGGTAAAGATCGATTAAAGAAAGTTAACTAGAAAAGACAAGTAATAAATTAATTTTCAAAATTTTAAAAACTTACATGCGTGAAGTAGATGTAAAGCAAGGAAATGCCCACAATCGATAAAGCATAACTGGTAAGTGTAACACCGACCAAAGCATAAAAGTAGCCACGATTATTTTCAGCATTTTCTGTTAAAAAAAATACCAATTTAATAAGCATTAAATTATTACATACATACGTAAACATATCACTAACCAATCCAATTTTCTGCCACAGAGTGTGCGAAATCCACAATTATAACCAATTGCACCAGTATGAAGGCTAGTCCACCAATCAATCCTACCCACATCATTGCTGGTCCGAAAGAGCCATCCGGTATGAAAATGGCACCAAAAGCAGCACCAAAACATATTAAAAATTTTAATCCCCAAAATTCATTTTGTATAGACGAACGTGGATCACGTGAACTCTTAACGCCTAACATAATTAATGCCATTAGCATAAAGAAGCAAGCCAATCCGAAACATAAGCGATAAACTGCCATATAACCGAGCGCATATTCACAGTCGACTTGCAGATTCCCAGTATAAGATAATGCCTTGGCGCTAACCGTCGAGGTGGAATTTATACAAAAAGGCAATTTTTTAAGAGTATCCTGTAGTCCGGGAGATAGT